TTTTTTTTTGATTTGTATAGGAACAAATCACAACATAAAAATTAAATTTATGTGACTGGAATACAGTGAAAGAATAGTGCATGGCACAGATGGAAGCTCTATAGAATTTCTCATTCAAATCATTTTTATGAAAGCTTACCATTGTCTACTCTGCTCACTTTAGAATACTTGAATGTTTAGAGTAAGTCCATTAAATTATTGGTCTGTCTTCCTCTCAAAAAAATGAGCAGGTTATAAAATCAATATGCAAACCTCCAGTGTTTGTTTCTATACACCAACAATGAATTATCAGAGAAATCAAGGAAACAATCCTAATTTATTATTGCATCTGAAAGAATAAAATACCTATAGAAAAACTTTAGAGTACAGATCTTTTACCTTCTTAAGTAAGAACTACAGATGAAAGAAAGTTAACACCTCAATAAAAGGACAGATATCCTATAGTCTTGGATTGGAAGAGTGGTAAAATGTCCATATAACCTAGAGCAATTCACACCTTTGAGGCAATCCCTATTAAACTCCACTAGCATTTTTCACTCAAATAGAGCACTCCTAAAACATCCGTGGAACCATAAAAGACCTTGAACAGTCAACAAAATACTGGGAGAAAACCAAGTTGGAGGCATCACAGTCTCTGATCTCAAACTCTATTACAAAGCTAAAATGATAAAAATGTTAAGGCATTTGCATGAAAATAGAAACCGATCACTGACACATAATGGAGAGTTCAGAAATAACACTCCTACACGATCCATTTATGATAAAAGAAGCAAGAATATGCAATGGTGAATAATGGTCTCTTGAGTAAATGATGTTGGAAAAACTGGACTGCTCTCTTACAGCCTAGCCAAAAATCAACTCAGAATGGAATTTAAAAACTTGAATGTAAGACTTGAAACCATGAAACTCCTAGAAGAAACTTTGAAGGTAAGCTTCTTGAGATACGTCCTGGCAATGACTTTTTTTTTTTAATGACACCAAAATAAATGAGTCTATATCAAGCTAATCTTTGAAAACTAGAAAGAGAACTATCACATGATCCAGCAATATAGGTAAACACATATTTTCCCTGGTTCCCTTTCAAGTTTATTTCAAAAACTTGATAAGCCTTGCAATGCCAGTTTCTAAACTTGACCTTCCATTCTGGGGAAGCTCATCATTTTTTTAAAAGGATTTTATATATTTATTCATGAGAGACACAGAAGCAGAGACACAGAGGGAGTAGCAGGCTCCCTGCAGGGAGCCTGATGTGAGACTTGATCCCAGGACCCTGGGATCATGCCCTAAGCCAAAGGCAGATGCTCAACCACTGAACCACCCAGGCATCCCTCAGGGAAGCTCATCTTAACCAAGATTATGGTATACTTAAGATCTCTGCGAACTTGTCTTAGTTTTGAAGAGTTTAAAAAGCAAGCATTCCTTTATTTGCTGGTTCAGTGTCCAGCATGATTGCTTGGACTTACTGTCATTAAGTGGAATATAACACCTGGGTGATGGCTTAAGAATTTATACGTATTTTTCAAATTTAGTGTTTAACTGAACCGGCGTTTTAACTCTTAGTGTATTTTCCACATATTAAGCATAACTGGATTTCAGCAATCTGGCCTATTTTTCTGATCAGAGACTCTTGTCAGATGAGGAAGAATAGGGAATGAAAGGCTGGAGCATTTGGGATAAGTGACTTGACTTGGCAGTGAAATCCCTCCCTCTTTTATCTTATGTGCTTATTCTAATTGTTCATACCCCCTCTGGGTGTAGAAAAAACAACTATCTCTTAAGCACATTGGAAATACAAGTTAGGCAATGCCAATTTCTTAATGGGCTTGAAGTTGATTGAAAGAGAAGAAGGGATATGAAACGGCAGCCATGCCCCTCTGTTGCCTCTTCTGTTGGCAAGTGTGTACTTGATCTCCTGGTGTCCAAGAAGTCCTTGTTGCTGATCCCCATAAAGGTGATCGCAGTGATCCCCTTCGGGAGCAGTGTGAAATGAACTCAGATCTGTAAGGTCTTCATCTATATCTGAGAACATCCTCTTGGGTGCTGGTGATAAAACTAATCCCCAGTGAATCCATTTTAGGTCATTGTAACTTCCAGGATCTGTTGCCTCTGCAGTGCCAATGAGTGTGAAGAACCAGAGGACATTGTGTTCTCTTGTGTTGTATTTGAACTAAAGATTGAAGTGTGAGCCTAATAAGCCAGAGAAACTACAAACATTTGTTGCCTTTATTTCCAGAATAGCGATTTCCTTCTGATTGGGGGTCATTTTTGTCTATGTAAGTAGATCTTTCAGGATCTATTGAGCTGAGGAGGTTGTTCGTGGTGAGGTGGTGTCTCCCATCAGTCTTACTAGCATAGAATGGAATGTCCCAATGATGATGGCAGCTGCGCTTGTCTTCTTGCTTGGTCTCAACCATTTCTGCACATTTATCTGGTGATTTATTGCAAGCCCAGCTGCCTTGCTTATTTATTCCGTACTTGAAATTAAAAAAGATTCATTTGTAATTGAAGCTCAGAGAAATAATATTAAATATGACTTTCCATCAGACAAGGGGCAGAAGGTACAAGTTCTGTCTGATGATTTAAAGCCATCTGCAGACAGATGGATGGTTATTTAGAGTAGACCTTTGGATGCCGGTTGGAATGCATTTTGAGCTGCACGAGGTGCTTTCTCTTGGGACCTGAGCTTAAAAACAACAGTATGTTTTTCTGATTAGCATGACCGGCCCCAGTAATCCAGAAATAAAATAAGACTTCAAAACACATGTTCAGACATTCACGCCTACACACATTCATTCATGCTTTTATACCCACCCTCACCCACAGACAGTTACCCTCTTGCCTGAATTCAGAGCCAGGGTTAAAAAGAACCAACTGGAAATGTTGCAGATCAAATTAAATGAAAACAATGGTTGAGGATGTGAGAAAAGGAGTCTAGTGAAGGTGAGCGATAGCTCCAGAAGTTTCTCTACTAGGAATGTTCTGGCAGCAATTCAGTTACTGTGTTCAGAGTAAAGAATTGGTGTCACTTGGAAACTCCATACAGGTCACTTTGTTAAAAAAGGAGGATTCTGTGTCTTCATCCACAACCTATATTTGTTTGTCATTTTTTTCATTCAATCTGTTCATTTCTTTCTGCTGATAGTTTCTTTGGCTACACAGAAGCATTTTAGTTCGAGGCAGTCCGACTTAATTTTTTCTTTCACTGCTTGGGCTTTTGGTGTCCTATCTGGGAAATCACTGCTGAGACTCATGTCCAGCAGTCTTTCCCTTACGTTTTCTCCTCCAGATTTTATGGTTAGCTCTTAAATTTAAGTCTCATCAGTTTGCTGCTTATTCTTTGGAGTGGTTTAAGATTGGGGTCCCATGTCCTTCTTGGTCCCATATCCAGTCATCCCATCACCATTTCTTGAAGAGACCATCCTTTCCCACATCATGTGTTTTCGACTCACTCACTAAGTGTTAGTTTTGACCTGAGGAGGTTCTGCAAAATCTCTCTAAAAAGACAGCAAAAGAAGGAAACAAGCAGAGCAGCCAGTTCCTGTACTAAAAATAAGGAAAGCTCAGGAGACCAGAGATCACCTTAAGGACCCTGTTGGCACTGGTCTTCTTCTCACTAGCTGGCTGCCTTTTAAGAAGGAGATGCATTTCTTGTGCCTCAGTTTTCCAATCTCTTCATTAGGGAGCTCAACTAGATCAGACTTTCTCAACTTGACTTTTTCTATGGTAAATAAATGTGATGACCTTCCCAGTGCTGATCCCAGGACTTTGTGCCTCAACCTCTTTTTATTCTATGAAAGAAATCTTAACAGAAAACAAGTCAAGTGCTATTATTTAGGATGCCTGGGTGGCTCAGACAGTTGAGCATCTGACTCTTGATTTCCTCTCAGGTCATGATCTCTGGGTCATGGGATTGTCGGGCTCTGTGCTCAGCATGGAGTGTCCTTGGGATTCTTCCTTTATAGCTCGCTCGCTTGCTTGGTCTCTCTCAAATATTTTTTAGTAAGTGCTATTATTCTAGGATAGCCTTGAATTCTCCTCAATCTGTATAACTAAAATTTGATATTTTAATGATCATTAGTACTAAATAACTCAGTGGTCTGGCCACATTGTTACAGATACCTGCTGACGCTGAGGACTTAAAACTGAAAGAAACATTCTAGATAATACATTGAATGGTATTCAATGAATACCATTCAGTGAAAAATTAACATAGCCAGAAATGAGAGTGCTATTCTTAGAAAGGTCTATAAGCTTGGCCCTTAGCTGGCATCTGGGAACTTGATTAGTAGAGAGTTGCCTTCCCTGACCCAAAGCTTTTCATAAAAAAAGCATTTTTCAGTGTGTCCAGACTGTGCAAACAATATGGTGGATGCTGAGCAATGTTACTCAGAACATTACCCAGAAAGGGGCTTGAGAATTGGGGTAGAGGTAGGTAGAGGGTGTTAGGTAGAGGGGTACTTATTTTACCAGACTTTTTTTTTTTAAAGAGATTTAAATTTTTTATTCATGAGACACACACACACACACACAGAGAGAGAGAGAGAGAGAGAGAGAGAGAGAGAGAGAAAGACATAGGCAGAGAGAGAAGCAGGATCCCTGCGGGGAGCCTGATGTAGGACTTGATCCCAGGACCCGGGATCACACCCTGAGCCAAAGGCAGATGCTCAACCACTGAGCCACCCATGCATTCCTTGACCAGCATTTAACCAAATGTTGGGTGTGAAGTTTCTATTGTTAAGTGTTGTTATAAATGTTGCTGGAGGAACTAAGAATGTCTTATGTGACTCCACCAGGAGAGAACTCTTGGAAGCGTACACCTAGTTTTCTTCAGGCTTTACCCCCTATACCTTTTCCTTTTGCTGATTTTTGCTTTTTATCTTTTCACTGATGTTTCTGTGTTGGGTTTAGTGGGTGCACTTAGCAAATAAATGAAACCTGGGGGTGGTTTGGGGGACCTCTGATCCAGTGCCATACTGACTTGTTAAAAAACTCTTCAACAGGTGCTGCCTATGGAATATCTCTTGAGGTGAGGAGACAGGAATGGGGGAAGAACAATGAATAACACCCACATAGGCCTCAGGTGAGTGGATGAGCTTGATTTCGTCAGGGGAAGAAATGCAGTGGAGCAGATGCACCAGTCTGCAGGGCTGGATGGAGGCTCAGTGTCATAGAAGGTAACTTGGCATTACAATGGAGATACGGTGGTTTAAATTTGGCAACTTAGAGGTGACTTACGGAGCCCGATCTGAGTTTGGGTACAGAGAGAAGTCCCAGGAAATGTTAGATATGACTAAGGAGCTACTTGAAAAAGGCTCTTGAGAGATGCAGAGGCCCGGGATTTGTTAGTTCTCTTCACCTAACTGAGAGAGAAGGTATTAGTATTGAGGGAGGGATACCTTCTGAAAGAATCTTCAGGTCAGGGCCTCAGGAATTCCAAGACCGCTTAAAATCTGGATGCTTGAATGGCTCTGAGCATGGCTTTGAGGATTATAAAAATAATGCCTAAACCTAGTGTTTCTGGTGGATCAGATAGGGTTTTATGTTTTCTATGAATTGAATTGTTGAATCATCTCAATACCCCACGTTGTATTTTTTTCATCATCCCAATTTTATAGATGGAAAGCAGAGGACCAGAAAGTTATTTTGCCCACATAATTGTGCTTATAGACCTATACTTGGAGTGCTGTGCTCTGTTGCTGTGGAAGTTGATAGAGCTCTATCAACTTGGAAGAACTGTGGAAGTTCATTAGTTACACATGGGACCTTTTTTTCTGTCTGCATGTTCGTTTTCTGAGAATGCTCTAGAGCCCATCCAAGATGATGGGAGGAAGAAGGCGGCCTCCTCACCTGCCTAATGTAAGGTCCCATTACTGTGGGGGAATAGTTGCATCAGCCAATGCAGTGATGAAGCACCTGGTTTGGAGCCAGAGGAAGAAGGCGTTGGACATGCCCTTTGGTGACCGCCTAAAAGGGGGACAACTTGCTTAGATGTTTCTGTGCTTCCATGCCTTGATTGGTGAATCAGGAGAATGTAGTATCTACTTTTCATGGTTGTTGTGAGGACTAAAAAGGGAATGAGTCTAAGTCCTTGGCACACTGCCTGGTACTTACTAAGCACTCCACAAATGGTAGCTATTACCTAATCATTAGGGGATGGGTTATGTTCCCACCAATGTCCATTTCATGGCCACTTGTAATTTACCACTAATTACATTTTGATGACATTGCATACAGTATTTAACTGACTGAAAAATCCCATTAATACTTCATAATGGGGTATACAAATGACACAGGGAAAACATTGTTGGAATATTTCATAGGAAGAGCCATTTTTTCCTTATTTCAATTGAATATTGATATCTTAAAACAGTGAGTATATCTCATTGGTAATGTTTATCTAGATGGGACCATGAGGCTCCTCATGATCAGGGGCTGCAGTCATTTTATAGCTGCTGCATTTAATCCCCTCTTGACCACCTTTATTACTCTGTCAATCAGCACCTTTCCCGGGGGTAAATTTTAAATTTTTGCATAAATTCCAGTTGGTTAATATAGAGTGTAATAGTTGTTTGAGATGTACAATTGAGTGATTTAACACATCCCTATGACACCAGATGCTCATCACAAGTGCCCTCCTTAATCCTGGGAGAAATTTTTGACTTCTGTCTTGGCTCACTTACCAGCTTACTTTTAGGAGGAGAGTACTCCTGGTACTCCTGGGAGATACTCAGCTGCCATCTTCTGGACTTTACATAGTTACTAGTTTTTTTTCATGCTTGGGGACATGATGCCAAGAGCTGGGACTTCACTGGATGGGCTTTCCACCATCTCCAATGTAGTCTCTACTAATGTCCTGAGGGGTACCTTCAACCACATGTCACTGGCTGCCACTTTTCCCCTCCCTCCATCAACTTTTGTTGAAAAAGTTAAGAAATTGTGCTCAGAGCCACTCATGGGTTTCTAGTTCTCCTTTTTTCTTGAGTGGACCTTGGTTGACCTAGAATCCCTGCGCCCAACCTTGAACCCTTGCTATGGGTATCAACATTGCCTCTTACAGGACTGGTGGGAGGAGTTTGGAAAGGAGCTGCTTCATGGTCCACATAAAGAGAACTTTGAATACCCTTTCTTCCTTATACTGCTGTTATTGGAGACCACTGGGTCTTTTCCCACTTGTGCATCTGCAAAGCCTGGATTTCCTGGTCTTCTATATGCATTGTGGGTATTTGTCCTTAGTGTCACTTTACACTTGTCTTTGATGAAATTCATCCATTGCTAGGAAAATGTAGAGTATTCTGTTGTTTCAGAATTATAACTACAGCAGTTAATCAAATGTTACCTGAATTTTATTTATACAAACTCAAGCTCAACTCAGACTCCCACTCATCTTGGGATGATGTGAAAAATACTGTTGTCTCTATTTCAGTCATTCATAGGCAACATCTTCAAAACTTGATGCTGTATACAAATAGTTCCTTGTTGTTACTTACCCAATAAACTTAAAGTCAAATGTGCCCTGAGTGGAAGAATTGCTGATGTGTTTCATGCACACGGGAGAGGCCCAGGCAGATCTCCTTGCCTTGATATTACTCTTGGACTTCAGGCCTCAGGTCCATTCGTCACACCATCAAGACTGTAGTTGGACCATCCTTACTTACTTCTTTTGTGATTGAGATGGTCCTATGAAATGTGAAATAAGACTTCATATATTGTTGATGGCAGCTGTCATGGTATCATAAGGAAACTAAATAGGTTTGCTAATATTGATCTTTGGTTGCTGTGCAGTATCTAAATCAGGGGCCTGGGATCTTCTGAGCAGACTGAAGAGGAGCTGCTCTGTCTCTCACATGAACATTCATAACTAAAAGAGTGAGAGGCTGAGGTAGGGGTGCTGCTGATTGCCTGATAAGTCTTGGGAGAGATAGACAGCTCACAGATCAGCAGGTATCACTGTCATTGTTACGTTGTCTTCTCCAGCTGTTGGATAAGGTTTATGTGAGGAGTATAATACTGGTTCTATATTTGAATGAGAATAAGCAATGCTAACTACTATTAAGGAGAAGCATACCCACCTATGCAAATAAAAATGATTTATTTTTCTTAAGTCATAGTTGTAAGTAGTTAAGAAGGTCCTCTGAAGCATGTATTTTCTTAGGGCCTTCACAGGGATCTTGGTGCTGCTGCCTTTGTATGTTTATAGTATTTTGGACCAAGGGATCAGGGTAAATCATTTGGGATATCTTAGGAGCCAGGTCTGGAAGTGGCAACTTGACTTCTTTCCATATTTCATTGACCAATATGCTCTACTTAGATGTCATGTAGGTAGAACATGGGTTTGGGGGTTTCTTCCTGCCCCTTTTGCCCTGCTCAGGAGGAAAAGGAAATGGTTAAATACCTAGTATTACCTCTACCCTACTATCAAAGCTACTTGACTTCTATGTGCAAACTTATCTCGATTTCAGGTCCTTCCTTCCAAGCTGGTGGAGAATGGAGAAGTTATAGATTGAACTGGAGGCATTCAGCCTGAAGTTCATCTGTGACCTATTTCAGTTTCAATCAGTACACTTCTGAGGTGTAGTTGAGTCTGTCCTCATCTTGTAATAATCACATGTATTACTTTTCTCTTGCTGCTGGGACAAATTATCACACACTGAGTGGTTTAAAATAACACAAATTTTTCACAGTTCTGTAGACGAAGTGTCTAACATGAGTCACACTAGAGCTCACAGAGGTTGGCAGGGTTGCCTTTTCTGGGGTTCTAGAGGAGAACCATTTTCCTTGCTTTTTCCACTTTCTAGAGGCCATTCACATTGCTTGGCTTGTGGCCCCTTCCATCTTGAAATTCACACCTTAATTCCAACCTCACTTCTACCTCCCACCCAACTCAGCTAGGAAAGGTTCCTTTAAGGACCTGTGTGATGAGGTAATAGGGGATAATCTTCTCCTATGAAGGTCCTTAACATGATCAAAGTCACTTTTCCCATGCAATGTAATTGAACAGATGCCAAGGATTAGGGTGTGTTTACCTTTGTCCAGGGCATGCATTTATTTTGCCTACCACACCTGGTGAGCTCTTCCATAGTACTCACCATCTAGCAGGTTCTTTTAAATGCCCCTTAAATATACATCTTTATTTCATTTTCATGTCAATCCTGCAAAATAGATCCTACTGTTAAGCATATTTTCAAATGAATTTTTAGATGAGGAAATTATGGTTCAAAGAGGTCAGTTGATCCAAGTTCATGAGAATGGGAAGTGGTAGCAATGGGTTTCAATCCTAGGCATCAGACTTTGGTATCCAGGCCTTTAATTATGACCTTATACTATCTGTGTCCTGGAGCGTAGTAATGGATAGTATGTGATGTAAAGTATGAAAGTGAATCATACCTAGGATTTAGTACACAGGCATCGAACCTTTACCTCGTTAGGTGTCTAACCATTTACCTTGAAATCTTTATCTTCACACCTCAAGTCCTGTTACTGACTTGGGATGCATGAAACTTGCTACTTCTTGACATGCTGCTAATGATAAATCCATATTTTCCTTGTGTGGATTTGGCCCTGTGGATTACTATGGTGAATGACCATAGTAACTTTCAACCGTTTTTTAACATTTCCATTTAAATCCAGGAGAAAGTTTCTGCCAAGTGCTTAGGTCTTAAACATTCTCTGACATTGATGATTCTTTTTTTTTTTTTTTTTAATTTGTTTATTTTAGAGAGAGTGAGCACAAGTCGGGGGAAGGGCAGTGGGAAAAGGAGAAGAGAGAAGCAGACTCTCTCTGCTGAGCAGGGCTCCATCCCAGGAACCCAGGATCATGACCTGAGCCAAAACCAAGAGTCAGACACTTATCTGACTGAGCCACCCAGGCACTTTTTGATGGCTATCGGTAACAAAAAGTACACACCTTAGATTAAACATCTTCTTTGGAGAAACAGGATTGGCTACCTTTCAATAGCATTGTTTTAATTGTTTTGGTTACTTTCTATGGACGACAGGCCATCCTATTTTTCTATTTTTCTATATCCAATGATATAGTTTTTACAAATTAGAGACAAATCTATTTGAAGAAACATTAAGCAC